ATTGGTCTTGAACTCCTGAGCTCAAACCATCCTTCCACCATGGCTTCCCAGAGTGCTAGGATTACAGGCATGAGCCACCACACCCAGCCCATTGACTTTAAGTCTTTCCTATATGATTTCTTTCCTGTTCTCAGTTCCATACAGATACCCCTGGGTATCCGAGGACAGAGATCAGAACTTAAAAGTAATTCTTAACTGATATCACTAGTATTTAGGATTTATTTTTAATTGTATTAATTCCATGTAATCCAACATTTGATTTTCATGCTGATTTTAAAATATCCCTTTTAATAAATATTTTCTTGAACAACTGAGAACCAACCCAAATTTTACTTGGGACACTCCCAGTTGTGTGACTTCAATGGGTGGACTGAGAATCGAAATAGAGATGTAAGATAAGGCCAAATACGGCTCCCATAATCCAGCTATGCCACAGATTTACATGCAATGACTTGCATGCCTGTTTATGTAGTTTAGATAGAAATATACACACACGTTAATGAATAGAGCATGTGCATTAAAGTAACTACGGGTGTGAAAATGAAGTTATATATACAGTACTCAATGTAGACTTCAGTCAGCCATGACAGTCTGGTCATTTGGCTTTTTATCTGCTATGGACATAAACTGTTTTGTGAACTTAGGTCAAATTGTAAGACCATTCCTTCCCCCAGGATCATAAGTACCAAAATCTGCTGTCACAAGAACTTTGGATCTGGAACAGGCCTATGAAAGAATCTAGCATATAGAAAAATGCAAATATACCCAAAACTAGGCATTACATTTGGGGGATTCATAGAATCTGCCTCTGCCTCAAAGTCTCAATGTAAATTAACATCCTGATTTTACAGATGAGGAGACTGAGGCCCAGAAAATGTAAACGATATACCAGAATTTCCACAGGTAGTTAGTAGAGAAGTCAGTACTAGAATTTAGACTCTTGGGTTAAATATATTCTTTGACTCAAATCACTCTAATAATTTCCTTCATAGAACACTAGATTATCTCATTGAAGAGAGAAAAAAAATCACACTTAGTCTGTATCATATGCCCCCAGAGCTAGTCCAGAACTCACTGACAGAGGTGAAAAGAGGTCACCAACCACAACCAGTAGGAACGGACACCCTATACTGGCTGTGGTCTTCAGAGAGCCACCCATATAGCTAGCCTCTTACCTCTTGATAAATCAGGACACCTGTTTGCAAAGTGCCAGGCTAGAGTTAACAGCATAATGTATAAAACTGTGATTTTCCTTTGTGCAAAATGGCCCTACTTTTCCACTAATCTCAACTCCACTGGCCTTTTTGAACTAACCAAGTAAACCAGTTCAGACAACCAAGAGTGTCTTCACTGACTCACCCTGGGAAGGGACATGCCAAGGACACATGGACTAATGTTTCCTTTCATCCTTCCTCTAAGTTTCAGTCTAAGGTGAGGC